TGTTTTTCCGCGAGCACATCTCACTGCAGAGCGCTAGAGCCGGCTCAGTTGACGGTTGTACGCCGCCGCCGACGCCTCCCCCTAGTCACTCATTCCGCCCGCGGGTGTCTGAGGGAGCCCGGCCGGCCCGGCGGGGGAGATGTGCTCCGGCGGCGGCGGATCGGTTTCTCGGGGTTTGACCAGCTGTCCCGGGCTAACCCTGCTCCTCGCTGAAGATGGAGGAAGTAAAAACAGGATTACCCTTAGCTACGGCTCCACCGCCTTAGTTCCCACCACCCGCCGCAGTGCACAAACACACGTTAGGCACAGGACAGAAAGCCCGAGAGAGGACACACTGACAGTAAACACACACAAAGGGTGATGGGAGTGTGGTACTGCATGCGCTGCTGAGGTAAATCTCCGTTTGGCTTTGGCGTGGGGAAGAGCAGCTCTTGTTTTATTTGTCTTCTGGTTCCGAGGTTGTCGAGATAAATGTGTGTGTGTCTGGGTTTGCAAAGGTCGGGGGGCGGGGAGCGTTTTCAAAGTTGAGTGTAATTATCTGGCACCTCGTTTTGCACGGTAATGCGATCAAATGACTTGTTGCTGTTAAGCAGGGAGGAGGAGGAGGATGGTAATGTGGGTGTTTTTCTCCGGGAGCGATGGCTGGTGGGGATGAGTAGGGTCCTGATGTCTGTAAAGGGCGCCCAGGGAACCGGGCTGGCGACGGTGTCCTCTGCCTTCACGTGTCCTCCCCTCCTTGAGATCTGTTTCTGGGATGTTCATCGATTAATCAGTTCTCATCTCTCTAGCTGTCATGGATTTGGACTTGTTTGGCTTTGTTTTAACTTGAATTCCAAGAAAGATCGGGTAGCTTGGCATAGATTGCAGCTGTCCAGAGAGAAGGTAATAGCCAGATCCTGTTGGAATTTAATAAAAACAAACAAACAAACAAAACAAAACAAAACAGGTATGACACATGCAAAAAGGCAGCAGTTAAATCACTTTGACAGGTTCCATCCAGGATGGGCGAAAGAGATGGAATTAAGATTTCTTTCTTTCTCCATTTGCCAAAAACACAGTCTTGGGAAGTTGGCCTAGGACCTAGGTTCCTCGCTGGGTTCTGCCTGACTGTCCCTCCCCTCTAACCCCCCCACCTTTTCTTTCAGTTTTCTTGTCTTAGCTTTTGGTCGATTCTTAAAGAACCGGTGGATCAAGTTTTTTCTCTTCTTGTTAATCGCATTGCTGTGGCACTGACTGACCTCTCTCTCTCTCTTTCTCTCTCTCTCTTTTTTTTCCTCTTTCCTGAAAGTACGTGGTGCCATTCCTGAGTGACTTTTCCTACTAGACCATCCCAAAGGGACGAGGGGGAGGGGAAGGAGGAGGAGGAGGTGGAGGAGGAGGAGGAGGAGGAGGGGGGTGTTCCTTCTCTCTCATTTCTTGGTTTTGTTTATCAGCCGATCTGTTTGCTGGATTTGGGCTCGGAATGACCCACCTGTGAAGTGCTTTTCCTTCCTCCTCGCCTTGAACTCTGCAGGGGGCTTGGCTTGGAGGGGCCAGGGAGGGGAAGAGAGAAGGGGGGAACACAGAAAACTTCTTTCTCTCCCTCTCCGTGTATCTTCAGCCCGACATTGTCACCTCCTCTTGGAGGGGTTAGAAGAAGCTGAGATCTCCCGACAGAGCTGGAAATGGTGATGAATCTTTTTTAATCAAGGGACAATTCCTTTTGTATGTACATTTCGTTTCTCTTTCTCCTTTTCTTTTGCTGGCTTTCCTTCTCTGAGGGTTAATAACCATTTCATTGATGGGGCAGACTTCTTTCGCTTCTCCCTGACGTTTCTTTCTTTTTTAATATGTGTGTGTGTGTTTAAATGTGCACATTTTTAAAGAGATAAACTCATTTGTAAAATAGCTGAAGAAACTGCTCCCCTTTTAAACTTTACGGATGCCTTTCTTTAACGCCTTATGTAATCATAATTTGAAAGAATTTGATAACAGTACAGCAGGTTGAAATTTAAGTGCTATGTAGTGGCTGAGTTGGGAATTTGATCTGATTATTCCATAAAGAAAGAAAAGTTTTGTGTGTTTTTTTTGGGGGGTGGGGGTGGGTAGGGAGGGTGGTGGTGAAGAAGGGGAGGGGAGGGAGAAGGGAAGTGGTTTTGGAGACAAGTGAAGCTGCCTGTTTTCCAGTAAGTAATGGAGAAATTCCAGGAGCCAGGGCTAAATATACTTGGCGATCAATACAGAAATGGCTCATTGTGAATAATTTAGCTGCTGGTGCAGTGAGAGTTTTGAAACTAAAGGCAAAAAGGACCAGGGCCAAAGGGGGGGAAAAATAAGTAAAAAAATCTCCTCAGGACATGTCAATTCTTTAAACTTTGTCTTTCAAAGAATACAGTTAGCTTATCGATCTTTTCATTATGTGAAATCAAAGCCAGGGGGTGTCATCTCATACAACTTTTGTTTCTGAGAATTAAGTTCTTGTTTTGCGTCATGGGTGCATGAGAATAATTCCCCAAACTTTAAAAAAAGCGATTCCCTTCCCAACAGCAAAAAGTTTATGAAATTTTCAAAATCGGACTGTATTAAGTAAGCTTGGCATTTGTATCCAACCCTGGTCTGGCAGGAAAGTAAGGTTACATCGAACAGGTGCTCACCCAGAACTTGGGGTTAGGCTCAAACGCCAATACAAGTTCAGGAGTTGGGTAACGGCTGCAGGAATCTTAGAGACACACTTGGGCACGAAGTTTTTGTTTTGTTTTGTTTTCTTATGTTTGTTTGTCCTCCCCCCCCCCCTTAGAACATGATGAACCAACTTGCAACAATTGTGAATAGAGCTATCTGTATACTAGGGGAGTCCTCAAACTGCAGTGCGATTGTGGGAAGTAGTGAGGGGTAAAGCTGGCACGTTGGAGATGTGGCCCCCTAGTTTTTTGTCGTTTTTTTTCTTCTTTGAACCAAGTAAATTCTGATGAAGAGAGTCATTCCTTTCTTGCTACAGCCCATCTCACAGCACACTTATCTTTCCTATCCTATCTCCAGCAGGAATCAGATCATTTGCAGAAAGAGTTCAGTGACTTGCAAATGAGCACATACAGTACACTGTAGTATGTTTCCTGGGCACAGGTTGCAGCAGCAGCAACATGGGCTAACTGCTTGGAGCTTCAAATAAGTTAAGCATTTCAGGGCAGAACTGAAAGGAATCATTGTGTTAAGGGTCTAATCTTTTGTATTGCAGCACTGCACTTTGACTATGGAAACAGAGGCTATCGATGGCTATATAACGTGTAAGTATTCATTCCCATTAATTTTCTTTATTGCTAATAAAGTTATGCTTCTGTGTTACCTGTACTTGAACTCCTCAATTGTAAGTCTTTATCACGGATTCTATGCTCTCATTTTCTATCTGTTCACAACTTCACCCTTAAAGTGAGTTTGGTAAAATAGCAGCATACAGTGAAATAGAAATAGACTTACTATATTAAAGATAATATGGAAAACAGTAGAGCTTAGCAGATCCACACTTTCCTGGTTGATTACTTTACCTAAGTTTACAATTGGTCAGGTTACATACATGTCTACTAATATGGTGTGTACTAAATATTTATTGCATTGTATAGCCTACGTTATCGGACTCATATTCTGAAAGAGAATTAGCTTCTAAATTCTCAACTTGTTTGGTTAAAAACAAACAAGTTGACATGTTTTTAGCCAACTCTCCTTTCAAACATCCAACTTTCTGATAGCCAGCATTTTAGAAAATGCTCATTATAAATACTGTATGTTCAATGATTAAATTAGGTTTTAAAAGAAATTTAGTTTTTTAAACTAAAGAATACTTTAGAAATCAACTCGTCCCAATTCCTCTTACGTTACAGTTACGATTATTGTGATAGTGAAATTTTGTCTTTTTTTTGTGTGTGTGGGCTGGTTGTTGCTTTTTGTCATTTCATTCATTTACTATATATTTCTAAATTATATTGCCTTACCGTTTCTTTTAAGGAAAAACATATTACATTACAATTTCAAGGCTATTCGTGCCACTGCATGAGACAAAGTTGGTAATTAGATTTTATGTGACAATGAACAGAGACCAAAAGATTTTATTTTGTGAAAGCAGGTGACAATG